AGGCTTAAGAGTTTCTGTACGAAAAATGAGAAAATGACAATGAAATGATATCATTTCCAGTCTTAGGCAGATACTGACAGTTGCCAGAATAAACACAATCATTAATATTTGCAATATTCAGGGATTAAAAAAATGCTTCTTTTCAGAAACTTTTTTTCTTTTTTCTTTTTTGCTGAAGAAGATTTGCCCTGAGCTAACATCCATGCCCATCTTCCTCTATCTTGTTGGCCACCAACAAGTGGTGTAGGTCCGCACCCAGGAACCAAACCCAGCTGCTGAAGTGGAGCACACCAAACTTAACCACTGGGCCATGGGGCTGGCCCCCAGAAACATGGTTTTTTAAAGCACAATTACTATTTTGTTGATTTCTTTCCAGTTACTTTTATCTGTTATTTATAATCCTAATTTTTTAATCAAAGTCTTCTATAAAGTATAAATATTGTCTTGTTATGTCACCTCAAACATTGCCTAAGGGCTTCTTCAAATAGTGGTATTGTGTGGCAGAGAAAATAAGCTTTACCTAGTAGACTAGAGCATAATTATAATCATTATTATTATCCTTTAAAAATCTAACTATTGATATATTTTTATATTTGTCTATAAATAATACCATGAAAATTTGTTTTACTTACAAATTCCTGGCAAAATAGCCACCTGGAGAAAAAACTAAATGAAAAACAGAATAGAATTTGCTACCCTAAATTGGCTAGCAAAGAATAAATTAATGGAACAAATTGCCATTATGGTTTTGTTTGTGATCATGTGACTTTTTTTAGATAATGTGTTTATTAGTCACAGTAGATACTCTCATGAATAATATCAATAAATAAAATTCTATGGGTTGATTTATGATTTTTCAATGAATTTACTTTGTAGTGTCAGGTATCATATATCTGATTTTTTTGGTTGATGTTCATTTATCAGTGTCTCTTTATACTCTGCTTTTCATTTTTCTACCTAAAATGTATTTCCAAAGACTTTATGTTAAGAAATTTTCTGTGGATAAAACCGAAATAGATTTGTAGGAGCTCTACCTAAAGGGAGAGAGTAATGAATCACGTTGCAATGTGAATGAAGTTCATTTATCTATACCATGAGATCGATTCGGGTTTCCAGAGATTGGCATTTTCAAGCAGATTTCAACAGAGAGATAGCAATTCAACACCTAATCCCCCACTACAAAACATACTCAGACGGATGTGAAGTCACAAGTGAAGTGAAGACACAAAAGTGTGACTCTGGTGTTTTACTGCATTGTGTGATACCGTGCTGCCATCTTTTACAGGTAGGAAAGGCAAGATATACAGGAATGTTTTGCATGTTATATTGAAATGACTGGTTTATGCATTTGCCTACATGGGAATATCACTGGGTGTAGTATCCTCAAGGAGGGACTCTGCACAACAGTATTCACCTTTCATTCCTACCTTCTGGTACACTGACTAGAATGGAAGTGAAGCTATAGCAAAGGTTTATTTATTTATTTATTTATTTATTGAGGAAGATTAGCCTTGAGCTAACATGTGCTGCCAATCCTCCTCTTTTTGCTGAGGAAGCCTGGCCCTGAGCTAACATCTGTGCCCATCTTCCTCTACTTTATATGCTGAACACCTACCACAGCATGGCTTGACAAGTGGTGTGTAGGTCTGCGCCCAGGATCCGAACTGGCAAGCCCTGGGCCGGCAAAGCGGAACGTGCGAACATAAGCACTGCACCACCGGGCTGGCCCCAGTAAATGTTTATTGAACTACAGGGGCTCTGCATGATTAAATAAGGATAAATTATGTACGGGCTGAGCTATAGGTTATTAAAGAAATATATTACTGCTATCATTAATACTGATTTGACCTCTTTTGAGTTCATGTTTAAGTATTCCAATTTCTCTGCATGTAACAATAGCTCAGTGTTCAGAAAATAGTTGTTGGGTTTCACAAGTCGAAGATAGTCTTTCTAAACGTTTTCCTTTCACTTCCCTGCTCTACTAAATAGTCTATTAAGCACAATTTTGATATTTTTTTCATAGCTCCAAATTTAACAATGTTTCAGTCTTCATTTTTTCTACAACTAATGTTTATTTCCTGCATGTAGGTAAAGATATCTGAAAACAGGTGAACAGGCTATCCAAAAATTAATACTGTTGTTTTTACTAAATGTATGATATTTAAAGTATTTCCCTTGGTTCTTACTTCGAAAAGTTGCATTTCTACTACAGAAAATTCAATTAGAAGGCAAGTTTCCACGGAAATGTGTGGATTTTCTATAAAATGATTATATCCTTTAAAATCACAGTTCATCCTGGCTCTTTATTTTTCAAAAGCAATATTTTACTACTTGTGTGTTTATATATGTGGTTATACTTTTAGTTAGTTCAGTTTTTATTTTATGCAAAATTTGTGCAAGTTGGTGAGTCTACTGTGTTTCTCTGAAACGAATGAAGAAATTAACTACTCAACTCCTAGCTTCAAAAGATGAGTGATCTCAGCACCTTCAGTCATAGATGGATTTGCTATTTGGGATAAATATGAAGGAATGTCTTGTTTAAAGCATGACTTTCAGCTGTGTATTTTAGAACGCAAACTTTATCAGAGAAAGTACCATGAAGAAAGTTTCTTTCTCTCTCCCTTTCACTCCTTCTGTTTGATTCACTTCTGAATGACCAGCAGCTAACAGTACTGATCAAGTACGCAGCTTTCAGTAAACGTTTGTTCATTCATTCAACATGTCACAGGAGAGGAATTTGAACATGTTACATTACCCTTTATTTTCATTGTTGAAAAGAGTTCAGGTGACATAGATGAACAAACTTGTGGAAAAATTGGCAAGGGTTTTTGTTTTGTTTTCTTTTTTAGACAGATGATAATTAAAGAGCAGCAAAATTATATATAAAGCCATTTAATATGACACAATGATAATAAATTCAATGCGTTTAAATTTATCAATTTTCTTAAGTCTGCAAGCATTTCGAGGGGTATATATTTTCAATATGCTTTGTTCTCTTTTTTTCTCTTAAAGGAGGGCTATACTGCACATAACTAAAAAGTTAAATTTTTTCAGCTTTGTCTTTAGAAGAATTTTTAAGCTTTTAATGTTCCAATATTTTTCATTTAGCTAAAATGTCATTATTTACTTTTGTATACAGTGCAAAATTATAAAAGATTTAGTGAGGGCCACAGCTGTCCCCAGATTTTATTCAAGAAATCTCATTACTCTCAAAAGATATTTGTTTGATTTTTAAGCTAGGTGCTATTAGGAAACATATATCCTAATTAAATGTGATACTTAAATACAGGGAATAATTTCCATAATCATGTCCTCTCACTAAAGTCAATTAATCTATCCTTGGCACTTTACCAGTATTTTCAAGTTTAATCATCTTAAGAACACTGTAAAAGTTTTATTCCAATATTACAAACCAAAAGTTGAAATTCAGAATACTTAAATAACTTTCCAAACACTGCATTTGATAAGTGGCAGAGCCAGGATTCCAGTAAAAACATGTCATATTTGAAAGCCTTTCGTCTTTGCTGAAATCCTATACTTCCTGCTTCATAATACTTCCTATGGTTTCCACTTGATTCCACAGTCCTTTACTGAGCTTCTGTTATGGAGAAAATCTGACAGTCTAGGTATTGACTTTGTCTATGGGCTTCAAGATACATCAAATTATCTAATTCAACCCAACTCCATCTTTAAAGATGTTTTTAGTTGTGACTGGCCGAAAAAAATGGAAGCTATATTTCCTGTGATTTCTTTCCTCCCATGTATTTCTAAGTTTTCTTCTAAAAAATTGCTCCTTATTCTGAGACCAATATCCCATAGTAATTTTTAATCTGAAATAGTCCTTCATTAACCTTAATTATTTGCCTCTTTTCCTTGCTTGGGCATCAAGAGGAACTCTCGAGAATATCAGATCATCTGCTTAGAACCAGTATGTGTTGGGACCATAAAAAGATTAGAAATTAGAAATCCTGAGTCGTTATCTTGAAAAAATGTGTAGGGTAAGGATGCTTAGAAGTTAAACAAGTTTCTGAGGATCGGACATCTGGTTCGGGAGCCCAGGTGCTGAGCATCTCAGTGTCTCAGGCTTTCATTATATGTTTCTTTGATTCCTTCAGCCAGTGTTCAGTACCATCTGCACATTTTTACTTGGCTGCTTTCATTTCTCCAATTATTTAGTCTGTTTTCTTTATTTGGCTATGTCACTCCTCTGCAGATACAAGCTCCTTAGTCAGCGATTAACTTCATCAAAAAGTCCTGGTAGGTTTTTGAAGGGTCTCATTGAATATTTCATAATTTAAACAAGACAGTAGATGCTTCTGAAATTATGACAGATAAAAAAGATACATAATACTTATCTGTGGTCTTAGAACAATGCTGTTAAAGTCAGCCCATGATTTTTTCTGATGAGATCAGAGAGTTTGTATCAAGTCTTAATTCTGTGTATAAAACAATCAAACTCTTTGAAAACAGACAGCCACCAAAAAAGAAAATACAAATCAGCCAAAGAAAAATTAAAAATAACATTCCTAGCTCTTCTTTGAAAGGCATGGTACCGTTTTTTCATGTTTGAAACAGTATAAGGAATTGATTTAGCATTAAGGTCAGTGACAAAATACCTCAATTAATACCTTCTATCCCAATATCATTCTTTTTTTTTAAAGATTGACACCTGAGCTAACATCTGTTGCCAATCTTCTTCTTCTTCTTCTTCTCCCTAAAGCCCCCAAGTATGTAGTTGTATATCTAGTTGTGGTCCTTCTGGTTGTGCTATGTGGGACGCCACCTCAGCATGGCTTGATGAGCGGTGCCAGGTCTGCACTCAGGATTCAAACTGGCGAAACCCTGGGCCACTGAAGCGGAGCATTCGAACTTAACCATTTGGCCATGGGGCCAGCCCCAATATCATTCTAAAATAGGAAAATATGTCTATGTCTCATTTGATGACAGGAAGGATAATCAATAATCAGTGAGAGCATTTAGTGGTCAAATAAACTGTTGAATGAATGGAGAAATTAAAATATTTATTCTTATAGGTGATCTACGATTTTTACATTTTACATTTCAACTAAAATAACATTTGCCAAAGGCAAATGTATGGCATCTTTAAATACAGACACTTACAGACCATGTAACACATATCTAAAATTAAATATTTCCCTAAAGTAGAGACATACATACTAATTAGCATAATCTTATTTGAATAATATAGTACTAAGTGATTCAATCAGATTCGGAAGAAGACTGTGATGGCTGGCGGAATACTTCCTGAATATGAGCCAATGCGGCAGATGCCTGATCTCTAGGACCTCAAACTCCTTGCTTCTTTACCTCCTCCCATTTCTAATTTTTGCCCTAATCCTAAAAGTCCAAAGACGAGGGCTAATTACTCCTGAAATAAACCTCCTCTGGTGGCCATTCAAATGACTGACTGCCGCTATCTCAGTAGCAACTTCTCTTTGCTCCACTCAGTCCTAACGTGGAGCTATGCCTCATCTGGGCATGTTTCCGTGACCAGCAGGAGTGTGCTCCGTATAACTGGGTAAGTCCATGCTCCCTTAGGAATGAACCCAAATGTGGACCACATTCTCAATCAGCAACCTAGGTTACGCTTAACCCGGAAGTTCTATAGAGATGAACGTGCCCTCCCAAACGTTCCTGTTGATGGCTTATAGCTAGAAGTTAGAAAAATTGGTGTTTTTGAGCCAGGGTTAGTAACCCAAGAATAAATGTTTGTTCTCTCCCATTGTGAGAGCTAGACCACTTCCATACTCTCTAAAACTGAGATAGAGTCTTCACCATTATGAAAAATGTTGTCTGAATATATGATATCTGAGCATTATGTTTTTTATATCTAGAAGAAAATCCAAACTAGATGTTTGGTCACACTGTTGACAATTTTACAAAAGCTTAAACTTTACTTAGCTTTACAATCTTGTAAAACATTGTTATTACTTCATTACTGCCTTTTAATTAAGTAATAAGTTTTTATGATTATGAATGGTGTGAAGTCAAATGGAAGGTTTTACAGAATATGTTGGCAGAGACAGTATGCACTGTTAGAATAAAAGTTTTGATTTACATTTTTAAAATCCTTTCGCATGATGTGTTTTATTTTAAAAGATGTACCCATTTGTTGACATAAACATGCTATATCTTAGAAGCAAATGTACAAGTTTGCCATCAAAACGAGCAAAATTAATTTTCTTTATAACCAAATGGCAACATCTGACTTTACATCCTGGAATTCATTGTAGGTAAATGAACGTGACCGTCTTCTAAGATTTGTTGGCCTCTGAGGTCTTCCTTCTGTCAAGTCTAAATAGATGTCAGATTTCAGAAAACGTGTGTAACTGTCTTGTTCCATAAGCTGATATACTCTGCTTTGTGCAGCATCAAAACTGTGGAGAGTGGGTTTGGTGATGCTCTTGGCAATGATTTCTTTGGTGTGGAAATCAAGGTTAACCTGGATAATAATGAAAAAAGTGCAATTATAGCCAATCTACTTCAGTAAACATGCTTGAGAAACGAACAGTACAGGGCTGACCCAATGCTCAAGTAGGGGTAGGGCACTTGGCCACTTGGGTGCTTTTCCTGTTATGGGTCTAGGGATCCAATGATTTACTCTGGGATGGCATCTCATCTGGCTCTTCTCTCCCTATACTCCTGGTCTTTCACTTTCTCTGCCAATTTAGAATAACGGAGTATTAATGGTACATGCCATAGAGATCATTAGCTTCAACTCATTTTCAAGTGGAAACTCAACTTCATAGAAATTAAATTATTATTATTATTTTTGTGTGTGCGTGTGAGGAAGATTGTCCCTGAGCTAACATCTGTGCCAATCTTCTTCTATTTTGCATGTGGGACGCCACCACAGCACGGCTTGATGAGCAGTATGTAGGTCTGTGCCCAAGATCCAAACCTGCAAACACCGGGCTGCTGTAGTGGAGCATGCAAACTTAACCACCATGCCACTACACCAGAAAGATATAAAATATTTTAATGCTGTTTATCAATGCACTGATGACATATCTGGTTCTGATGTGGTGAGTTTTTAGGAAGAGGTTCTTCCTCTTCCCTGGTGAGTAGCACCATACAACTAGCTGCCTTTGTTTACCTGTGTGTAAGGTTGGCCATGGGGAAGACAGAATAATTAATTACAACAGAAAACAGATTGAAACATAATGAAACAAGGAAAACAACTATCATTTCATGTGGAACAATATCTACAGGAACAATGCTACCCCATGGACAATCTAATTTACAGTCAAACAGGTCTCTTAACAGTGATAGATGACCAGCTCTACCACCGCACTGAAGAGACACTTTATTGAACACATAAAAATATAGAAACTCTCTTTAATTCACGTTTGAGGAAAGCCAAGTAATATTTTCTAGTTTTATAGCCATTTTAGCAATTGTTTCAAACAATTACCTCATACTGAACTTGCAGTCAAAGAAAATCACAATTGTGTTTTCACTTGAACCATTGCCAAATTAGGTTTACCTCGTCTCTCTATAATGAAATTTTCTTTTAGTCTACTTTAAGATGGAGAGAGAATCATTTCAGGGCAAACAAAACCTTGTGTATGTAGATGAGCAAAGATTAAAATGGTGCATGATAGAAAGATCTTAGGTTCTCTTGCCTTTATCACTTATAGAAATCTTTAGTTTCTGTGAGAGAAGGCTTGAGCTAAGGTGATTAACATGATAAATGAATCTAAATGTTGCAATTAATTGTATTCACTCTTCATTTAGAATAAAAATAACACTGAGGAGTGACTTCAATTATATCTTTCCTTCCATGGTAATATGTTACATTGCATCCTGTTTGTATGTAGAAATCTATATAAATAACCACCATTTTTGCTTCAACAAAATCCTGGCCTTTCTGGTAGAACGTACAGGTGTACCCATTTGATGAAGGCAGATTCTCTCAAATATTTTTCAAACAGGTGTAAATTTTTACAGTCATCTTTACCTCTTGCGGAGCATCGTTCTGTATAAATTTCTCATATATTGCTTTTGCTTTAAGGATAATTTGTTGAGGGTCTTTGCTTTTCTTGAAATCTTCACAGGCTACCCAAAATTCAATGTTTTCCTCACTGAATTCGGTTTTAAGAAATCTGGTAAAAGTCTCCAGTCCACCTACCAAGAAAAGAAGTGATATATTTTACAATAAAATATGAATGCTGAGAAAATGTACTCCTTGATATTACAGTATAACTGCAAATATTAGCAGAACAGCTCATGTTCCCTCAAATGCAGCGCGGTAGCATACGTCTTGCGTGATATGGCAGAAGGACCTCATATAAATTGGCTGAAATCTTCACAACTATGAAAGGTAAGTATCCTTCTTGTTGAAATGAGGCTGTATCATACTTAGACCTCGTAAGAGGGACTCTGGACCTCACTTTGGGTCTCCTTCCGCTGTGCCTCTCCCCAGGGTGTGTGTGCGAGGTTATTCTACAGAGCCAAGAAGCCATTTCACCTGGAGCCCATCCCTCATCTTCTAGTCCATGCTTCTTGGGCTCAGGACCCTGGAATTCCCTGTCTAAAGGCTCTGTGTTTCCAGAGTTTGCACAGCCGTCTTCTCCAAGTCCATCCAACAAGGGCACGCTGACTCAGTGGTATGCATACCGTTAGGCCTGAGTGTGGACAGGACTTGAATTTGCAGCCTGAGGGTGTCCACCCAAATGTGCAAAGAGGCCTCTCACAGTGTGGAACCAAACCATGGGTGGAAAGTGAAGTGAGGGAGGCCATATTTACAGAGTAGAACTGTGAAGAGTCTGAGAATTTTTAATTCAAACCTAATCTTCCAAGTTGTTACACCGTATATTTTTCAAAATAGAAGGATAGAATGAATAATTTTAACAGTCTGTCAGCTTGGTCTGTAACTTTTAAGCATTTAGACATATGGTATGGAGCCTCCGTTTTGACGTTGTTCTATTTGAGCCCCATCAATGCTAGGGGCAGGTCTCAAGTCTGGTAAAAGACCACCAGGGTTCAAATGCATGTTCAGCTGGTTACTGTGTTGCCCTGAGTGAATTATGCTTCATTTCTGTGCCTCAGATCATGATGATACCTACCTGATAGGGCTGTTTGGAGAAGTAAATGTGTTAAAATGTGCCAAGGGCTTAAAACAGTGACTGACACATAGTAAGTACTCTATATGGGTTTTGATGGTAGTGATGATGGGGATGATGCTGACGACAATCTTGATGACTATCATTTGTTTAAGGCTTAGTCAGGTAAAGTTAACATAGCTAAAAATGCGGCAGACTCAGATTCAACCCTAAGACACTTTGACTTTAAAACTAGTGCTCTTTCAACTATTTATGATATCCTACCATTTTTTGGCTTACAGACATTTTTACAAATTAAACTTCTTTGTTTTGAAAAAACTATAGATTTACATGTACGAAATAATAGAGAGATCCTATGTACTTTTTATCGTTTCCACTAATGTAACATCTTGCAAAACTGTAATAAAATATCACAACTAGGGTAATAATATCGCTATAGTCGAGATCCAGAACATTCCCATGATTAAAAAGATATCTCATTTTGCTCTTTTATAGCTACACGTACTTCCCTCCTACACCCAATCCCTCCATAAACTCTGGGAACCACTAATCTGTTCTCCATTGCTATAATTTTGTCAATTCAAGAATGCTATGTAAATGGAATCATACAGTAAATATTCTTTGGGATGGCTTTTTTCACTCAGCATGATTCTCTGGAGATTCATCCAGATTGATGCATGTATCAATTGATGTTCCTTTTCATCGTTGTGTTGTATTCCATGGTATGGACATGCCAACATTTGTTTAACTATTTACTAATTGAAGGACACATAGGGTTTTTTTGGCTATTATTAATACAGATGCTATAAACATGTATGTATAGATTTCTTTTTTTAATGTAAACATAGTCTTCATTCCTCTCGAATAAGTCCCCAGAAGTGAAATTGCTTGGTCATAGGTAGTCGTAATATGAAAGAGTGCATTGTAGAAGCACTGAGAAAAAAGAACATTGTTCCTTCTGGATTTTTCAGATAAATTTTCTCAGAGAAGTTCACATTTGAGTTGGATATAAATGACTAGCCATCTTTCTTCAGATTTGGTCTCACCCTCTAGTTATGACCTATTTCTCTTTCTGCTATCACAAGTACCTTATTACACAGGGAAATTTCATGAATCTTGTCTGGACTTCTTACTTGGTAATATTTGATAATACTGACCCCCTCCTTTTGAAAGTACTCTTCTTCCTAGGATTCCAGGGCACTGTATCTCCTACTTCACACTATCTGACCACTTTATGCAGTCGCCTGTGATGGCTTAACTTCTTCTGTTCCCTGGTTGAATATGATGTTTGCTGGGATTCTGTTCTTTACATTCTTCTCCTTTTCTCTCCTCTTCTAGCTCCCTTTTCTCTTCTCTACCCTCCTACCTTCTCTTCCCACATTTTTCCGGAAACTCCTTTTTTCCCTTAGGTCCCGCTGTACCTAACCCATATTGCTGGCACCTGTGGGCAAAATGAGGCATTACAAACAATCCTGGAAAACAATAAAGTTTCTGTGAGTTAAATTTTGATGTCATTAATGTTTAATAATCGTTTGATAGCATTAATAATTTTAATCATATTAAGAGAAATCATTGTAGAAACATTTTTCTCTTGACTTTGAATATTCCTCCAGCTACTCATCTATATATTTCTCTTTACAAATATAGTCTTTTGAGTAAGTTTTCTACACTTGGTCTTTTAATCCCCTCCACTTCATTTACTTCCCACACTAAAATGTGCTTTCTACCCAATACTTATATAATTTTTACCAAAATGACTTACTGTTATATTCAGTGGGCTTTTTTTTTTTCCAGTCCATATGTTTCTTCATCTCTCTACGACAGCAGGCACAGTTGAGAAATATCTGTAATTTTCTCCTATGGCACCTACCCTCCTGAGTTTCCTCTTAGGCCTCTGACCACTGCTTCTCTGAATAATTTGTAGTTTACCCTTCTTCATCCTTCCTGTTAATTACATTTCCTGGGTAATAACTTCAACACTCCAACACTCAGATAAAATGAATACACTGATGATTCTCAGAACTCATCTCCAGTCCAGATCTCTTTCCTGAGCTCCAAGCTCCTATCAACCAACATCTGGTAAACATCTCTATTGAATTTTCCACCGAAATAATCATGTTAGAGCTGAATTCATCATCACCCAAGACATTCCCAGAATGTTTTCCACTCAATGACACCATGCACTCAACAACTTAAACCACAACCCTGGCATCCTCAGGGATTCCCAATTTTCCTCTCACCCCACATCCAACTGATAATGAAATCTTGTCAACTTTGTCTGTTTCATGTATCATACATCTATCTTTTTATTTTTATGCGATCTGGAATTACTTTTAATCAGACCAGAATTATCTTTCACCTAGATTATTATAACAACTTTCTAATTGGTGACTCTGACTCCAGGCTTCCATTGCTCCCCCCTGCCTGGCACCCGCCACCACAACCCCAGCCCAACACTCTTAGTTTATTATCCACATTCTAGTCAGTAATATCTTTCTATAGTACAAAATTCATTATGTTTCTCCACTGTTTAAAATTTTCCAATAATACCCTTCATCTCTTTCCACTATCTTTTTCACACGATAAGCTCCAAGCCCAGAGAAATACTTGAGTTCCATGTGTGTGCCGTGTTCCCACATCTCTTACCTTGAGCTTCTCTTGGAAACACTTTTCTCTTCCTACTCTAATTTTATCAGTCTAATTCATCAATCTAATCTGTACCATCCATTCAGGTTTAAATTAGAGATCATCTCATCTGGAAAGTCTTCGCCAATCTCTCAAGAGTAAGTTGGGTGTCTTCATGCCATGACTTCCTAGTATACTGGGTCCCACTTAAAATATTGTGCTGTAGTTGCTTGCTCACTTTTGTTTCTCATGCTACACTGTGAGATTCATAAGATGGAAACTCTTGTCTAATTTGCCACTAAATCCCCAGGATGAAGAAATCACTCAATAATTACTTACTGAAAGAAATATTCGAACATATGAGAAAAATACAAAATTTCATTAAAAATACAAGACTTCTAGGAAATGTTTTGTCTTTTTAATGAGATATCAGTTCTATAATATAAGAGAAATTGTCGATCAGAGTCAGTAAGAATAAAAAAGCAAAAAACCAATAAAGAAAAAAATAAAAAAATCTTGTCCTATTATGAATAGGGATGCACAAATATATGAAATTCATAATATATTAGTCCATTTAAGAAGTCAATCCTTATCTTAGCCTGATTCCATTAAACATTTAATTAACGTTCTAATCTCAAGCTTATCAAGCAAAATTTTTATTATGTTTGGCCTCTTTTTGAGCATACAGAAATGCCTACCAATGAGAGTTTTATTCCTGAGTGTATATTATTGAGTTGGAACTCGGCCTCATGAGTTTTGCCAGTGTGAGCCTGCTCCCGAGAGTTGGGTCTTTCTTGGCACGTTAACAAGATGACAGCATCAATATTCAGAACTGGCAGGGTTTCAGTTTGTGGTGAATGCCAGCCTATGTGGCTTCAGACAAGCTGACAAACTTTCTTGGAGGCACACTCTTCTCTTGGGGATATCACTGTAGGTTATTCAAGCATATTCCTAATTCTATAGTGTATTCCTAACTTTGGTCAACTATCTTATTAAATAAAGTTTGTTTTCATCCTGAATTCCCCACTGAACAACTCATTAATTTATTATAAAAAATATTTACTGAGTGATAACTTTGATCCAGATACTGTTTTAGGTACTAAGGATTTAGCCGTAAAATGGAGGCAAAGTCCTTGACTTGATGTTTAATCTACAGAGTCCTACCTTAAATACAAAGAAATATTGCTATTAAACTATGATGAAATGGAGGGCCATGACGGAGTAACAGGAACTAAACTTGCCCTTTGACTATCAATAACTATGAAACTGGACAAAATATCAAGGTAGTAATTTCCAAGCAGAGTACAATTGACAAAGGGCCTAGAAGCAGTGTGAGAAAAGAAGCATATGAAGCGAGCCTAGGTTTGGTCTGGCTTCTTACCTGGGGGCACCTGTAAGACTGAAATGCATGGAGATGGAGCCTAAACAAAGTTAAAA